TATAGTTTCTTCTGTTAAGCAGTTTCTTTTCATTTGTGCCATATATTCTGTTGATAATTGCCATTTACATACTCTACTGGCTTTATACAGTTGGTTTCATGTTTTATGTAACTAACACATATACTGTGTAAAATTTTGTGTGTGTAAAAATTTTTTTGAGGTCATTCTTCATTAAGTCTGCTAACGATATTCTTTTTACTGTTCATGTGAGGATTAAGTGTGTCTGCCTTCTGGTAATACATTAAGGCTGCAATATTTGTCTAGTTGTAGGAATATTTAGCTCTTTCTTATTTGAATGTGTTGTACCATATGGATAAATCCAATCCTGGCAGAAAATTTCCATTTTAAACACATAAAAAATCTTTTGTATTGTAAAAGCTAAAAAATAAGAAAAATAAAGGAAATCATTTTGTCTCGAATGGCTTTAGCATATTGCATTTGTTTGTTTTTTAGAATCTAATTAACGTTTCAGTTTCTAAAATCAAGCTTTAAAAGTACCCATATCAGTGACTGCTAATAGGTATTGGATTTATTTTGGGGGTGATGAAAATGTTCTCAAATTAGATTGTGGTGATGATTGTGCAACACTGAACATACTAAAAACTATTGCATTGTTAAACAAGTGAATTCTATAGTATGTGAATTATATATCAAGAATGCTGTTACTTTAAAAAGGTACTCATGTTTACCAACTCTACCACTGTGTGGCCTTGTGCAAGTTGCTTTCCTTCTTGTGCCCTGGTTTTCTCATCTGCATATAATAATAGTACCTTCCTAATTGGGCTGGTTGTGGAGACTAAATGAGTATAAATGACGAGTTTATAATTGTGTTTTGGAATGTAAGTCCTCAAACGTCAATAGTTGTCATTGTTTTCCTATCGTTTGCAGAATTCAGAAGACAGGTGTGCTGCTAGAGTTATACACCTTTTTGGTGTCATCAGCATATAGATTTTAAAGCATGCATATGGATTAAGTTTTCTAGGGAGAGCATACAGAATAGTAGACAGAGAGCTAAGGGCTGAATCTAGGGAAATAGCAGTAAGTTACAATGGTGGCAGGACGAGCAGATTTGGCAAAGGTGTGTAAAATATTTTTAAAACCTCATTTTTTGTGTCTTTCCTGCTATCAAGGAGGCTAAACTTTTTGACAAGCTGCAATTTTGTGATTGAAATATATCACTTGTGTGTTTGAGTTGTTTTTCTACGAAAGTTCCATTGTAGTCTCAGTACAGGAATAGCACAAACTGAAGGGAGAAAATTCACTCACATGTTTTTGAATATTGGTGAAAGGAGAGGTTTTCCTTAGAGCTGTGCTGTTCTTGAATGTTGAATTTTAATCTCATTTGGAGTTTCATTTGAACAAATAGTTTTCTTTCCCAACTCATTGTACTGCGCCATTTTAACCTGCAGTCCTCCTTCCCTACCACACACCTTGCCCTTTAGGAAATTCTTTCATAGGAGAAGGTATTTGCTGTGATCATATAGAAACAAATATTTGATCTTACTAGGGTTTAGACATAAGTCATGAACTGGCATTTTACATTTATAAACATTTAGCAGAGAGGGTGAAAACTAATGGGGAAAACCTAGTCTTCTACTTGGAGTAAGGTGTCTAGATTTTGTGTTTTAGGATTTTTATTTATTTATTTTTAAATGTTTTTTTTATTGATTTTAGAAAGAGAAGAAAGGAGATGGATAGAGAAATCGAAACATCAATGAGAGAAAAACATTGATCAGCTGCCCCCTGCATGCACCCTACTGGGGGATCAAGCCCGCAACTTGGGTATGTGCCCTGACCAGGAATCAAACTAGTGACCTCTTGGTTCATGGGCCCACAACCACTGAGCCACACAGGGCAGGCAGGATTTTTATTTTGAGAGAGAGAGAGAGAGAGAGAGAGAGACAGACAGACAGACAGGTAGAGAGGCAGAGAGAGGAACATATATCTGTTGTTCCATGTATTTATGCATTTACTGGTTGGCAGACAGACATACATCTGTTGTGCTATGTATTTATGCATTCACTGGTTGATTCTTATATGTATCCTGACGAGATCAAACCCACAACCTTGGCATATGGGGACAATGCTCTAACCAACTGAGCTAACCAGCCAAGGCTGTGTTTTAGGTTTTAAATTCCATACCCTCTTAACTGCACTCCAATAGTGTTCTTTAAGACTAGAAGCTATGATCTAAGAAATAGTGGTGCTGATTACATGCTATTTCTTACTAATTTATTAGTAAACCCTTTGTGCAAGCTTTATTACTAATTGCATTGTCAAATATGTGTACAAATAAATATCTGGTAATCATTGATATGTTATTTTTTTAAATATCTATTTTATTGATTTCAGAGAGGAAGGACGATGGAGAGAAAGAGAGAGAAACATCAATGATGAGAGAGAATCATTGATTGGCTGCCTCCTGCACAACCTCACTGGACCAGCAAGGGGAGGCAGTTGGGGGCGAGCAGGCCAGCAAGGGGGGGCAATTGGGGGCAATCAGGCCGGCACGGGGGGCAGTTGGAGCCGAGCAGGCCGGCAGGCAGAGTGGTTTTGGGAGATTGGGCAGGCAGGCAGGTGAGCGGTTAGGAGCCAGTGGTCCCGGATTGCAAGAGGAATGTCTGACTGCTGGTTTAGGCCTGATCCCACAGGCAGTCGGACATCCCCTGAGGGGTTCCAAATTGGAGAGGGTGCAGGCCGGGCTGAGGGACCCCCCCCCTGCACAAATTTCATGCACCGGGCCACTAGTCCTATATAATAAAAGGCTAATATGCAAATTGTCCCCTCGACCGGGAGTTCGACTAGGGGGTGGGGCCGGCCGGCCAACCACCCGTGACCCCTCCTCCCGTCTAGCCCTGCCACTGATGGGTCCTCACCACCCTGATCGGGGCGGGCCAGCCGGACCCCACCCATGCACAAATTCGTGCATTGGGCCTCTAGTAATGTTATAATGTATAAATGTCTTTTGACAGCTTTAACAGAATCTTTTTGGTTTGGACTTTCTATAGTTCAGTGATATTTCTCTCTGCTCTGCTTGAAGAGCAATCAATGCTGTGAAAAACACCATGCCCCAGTTTACGATTATTAAATGAGGTGGACTTGAAAAGAGAACAGTGCATGACTGGCTGATTTGAATTATGTTGGTCTTTGTCCTAGCTTCTGTTCCATAGTGTACACTGGCTATGTGATAGGCCCTCCTGAAAATCTTTTACAACTTGTCCTTGTGTATAATGGCAGGTTATGTTCGTGGAAGTCAAAGAAATATAACTCTAATCTGATTTCCTTCACAGAATAATATTACATTGAGGATTATATTCCTGGCCTAATGCCTGACTTTTTTTTAAAATAGAAATGACCATAACCACCCTTTTAAATCAACTTTTTAATCAACTGGAAATGATGAATCTGAATGCTACTCAGGAAAAAAAAATTGTCTGAAGTGTGTATAAATCAATTAACGAGGCATCACAATAGCTAGTCATATTAAATTATGTTTAATGAGCTAACGTGTCAGTAGACTATGAAGAGTTATTGTCATAATCACTGCCTTGTTTTTACTGAAATAAATCAGAAGGTTAAAAAAAAAACCACTTTCTGCAAAGTCAAGGAATTCACAAAAGATTTCTTTGTGTAAATGTTGGCAAGAATGTTTGAGGAGCATTTTGGGAGACTTGGGGTGATGGCTTTTTGAAAAGCTGAATTCAGTTGGTTGTGAAACTACCAACTCTATCCCATTCCATAACATTTTTATCAACCCAAAATAAAACACCATACTTATTTCCCCTCCCCCATCTTCTGGCAATCACCAATCTGCTTTCTGTTTTTATGAAATTAGCTATTTTGAATATTTCATATAAATGGAATCAAACAATATGTGACCTTTTGTGTATGGCCTCTCTCTCTTTCTCTCTGTTTTAATCTTTACCTGAGGATATGTTTTATTGATTTGAGAGAAAGGAAGAGAAAGAAAGAGAGAGAGAGAGAGAGAGAGAGAGAGAGAGAGAGAGAAACATTGATTGGTTGCCTCACGTATGCTCCCCAACCTGGGGTCAAATGTGTAACCTAAGTATGTGCCCTGATGGGGAATTGAACCACAATCTTTTTGGTGTATGGGGCAATGCTCCAACCACCTGAGACATGTAGACAGGGCTGGCTTCTCTCTTAATGTTATGTTTTTGAGGTTTATTCATTTCAAAAACATTATCAGTACTTCATTTTTTGGATGCCTCAATAATATTCCATTGTATGGATACATCATATTTTGTTTATTCATCTGTTGGTGGATATTAGGGTTGTCTCCACCTTTTGACTTGTCTAAATAGTGTTGTTATGAACAATTAATGAACAAGGTTTTGTTTGAGCATCTGCTACAAGTTCTTTGAGGTGTATATGTAGGAGTAAAATTCCTAGTTCATATAGTAATTCCTTGTTTTGCTTTTTGATGACCCGCCAAACTTTTCCACAGAAGCTGAAATATTTTATATTTCTACCATCAATGAACGAGTATTCCAGTTACTTCCCAAGATGTCCCCACCAACACTTTTTATTTCCTATATCTTTTTAAAGATTCTAGCTGTCCTAGAAGGCTGTTACCTTTAAAATGCCAGTCAGAAAGAATATATGCACCCCTATGTTCATAGCAGCATTATTTACACAATAGCCAAGATCTGGAAACCACCCAAGTGCACATCAGCAGATGAGTGGATAAAAAAGCTCTGGTACATTTACACAACGGAATACTATGCAGCAATAAAACAGGAGGATCTCTTATCCTTTGTAACAGTATGGATGGACCTGGAGAGTATTATGCTTAGTGAAATAAACCAGTCAGAGAATGACAAATATCATATGATTTCACTAATATGTGGAATCCAGTGAACAAAACAAATTGACAAACACAGTGGAACTAGAAACATGGATACATGGGACAAACTGATGGGTTGACTGGATGAAGAAGGTGAAGGGATTAACTAAAGAACATATATGCATACCCCATGGACATGGACAATAGTGTGGTGAAGACCAAGGGAGGGGAGGCACAGGTGAGTGGAGGTGGGTCAAGGTCGGGGGCGGGGGAGGTGGACACCTGCAATAATGCCAACATTAAAGAATTTTAATAAAAAATAAATTAAGAAAAATAAATAAAATGCATGAATGAACCTCCCTTTATTTGCAGTGAATATTTCATTCTTTGATACCTCATCGCATTGTTGTTCAACATTATGAAAAATTGTAGTGAAGCTGAAATGCACACTGGACTGAATTGGATTCTAAATCCATTTAGATCTATATTTACCATCATTCTAGTACATTGCCTTCTAAGAAAGGCTTGCACTATTAGGATAATCCCACTATTTCCTCTTTTCTACCATTTTTACGATCAAAGATGAGGTCTAAAGGACTAATCTAACACCTAAATTTCCAGCCTTTGAAAACCATCTGTATATGCTGGGTTCTGCCATTTTTCCACCCTTAACTAATGCTATCATTCGTTATTTTCTGTTTCTCAATGTTTAGAAGGTTTATATCATATCTGAGTTTACAAAGTAGAGTAATAATGGACGTAGAAATGTGTTAACACATTTGTAGACACACATGCCTTTTATAATAATGTGAAGGAGAATAAATGCATTGCAGTCAGAAGAATTGAGTCTTTGTGAACATTTAATTATCAAGTACTGATCATAACTAATCTGCTTGTGTTCCATGGAGCAACAGTTACTTAATGCTACAACCACTATGCTGTTTCATGATTTAGCTGAAAAATTTTTCCCCTTCAAAGCTTGCCAGATATTTTTAATGTCAGCTGTAAATTCTTACAATTGTTCTAGATAACCCCTATCTGTGCTTTGGAAATATCCCATTGCTATTTTTAATCATATACTTGAACAGAGCCTCAAACTTCTATTTGTTCTATTTGGTTAAAAAAAATCCTTTGGCTTGCAGGTGGTATGACCTTTAGTGTGAATAAGGTTTGTTTTTGAAAAGTCATATATTTTGGCCTAGCTGGTTTGGCTCAGTGGATAGAGCATCGGGCCTTCGGACTGAAGGGTCCCGGGTTCGATTCCGGTCGGGGGCACATGCCCGGGTTGCGGGCTCCATCCCCAGTAGGGGACTGTTCGGGAGGCAACCCATCAATGATTCTCTCTCATCATTGATGTTTCTATCTGCCCTCTCCCTTCCTCTCTGAAATCAATAAAAATATATTTTTTAAAGAAGAAAAGTCATACATTTTGAATGTGTGTGCTGTAATAAAAGTTAAGGTGTTTTTTTTTTCCTGTGTTTCATTTTATAGCAAAAATCTTTTGTTCAAGTAAAACTTGTAATTTTATGTGGTTCATTATTTTTTTAATTGCCCTTATGATAGTTCATCTTAACCTGTTTTAACTTGAAGTTGTTTGTATCTTGTGTGCGGGGACATAAATTTAATTCTGTTTTATTAGAGCAATAAACTATTGACCTTGGATAATAGCCACATTTGAGAAGGCATTATTTTTTTTCACATCTAAAGGTTACCATTAAATAAATTTGACTATGGTGCTTTAAATGGGCATGTTTAAAGCCTGAAAGAGCCAATATACCTTCTAGTGTATCCAAATTAGTACCCTGAAGGCACATGAGCCTTTCCCTGGTCTTTGTGACTTGTGTTTCCTTTATTGCTCATTCCTCTACTTCGAAGTCTATGAATAAATTTCATCCTGAATATACAGTACTATCTTCTCATTGTATACTGGTTTGTAAGTTATTCTTCATCCTTAAGTATCTCTTCCCTGCGCTTGGAAAGTTTTTTGTTTGTTTGTGTTTTTTGGTGTTTTTTTTTGTGTTTTTTGTTTTTTTGATCCAGGCAGAAAAAGGTGGCAAATGGCACTTATCCAAAATCACATTTCAAGTTTTATTGCTAGAAGATCTGGACCCAATTCCTCTGCATCCTCTTGATCAGATTATTCAGTTAAGCTTTCCTTTAGTTACCTGCAAGGAAATTAATATGGGACTTCTCCCAAGACACACACAGTCCATTTAGTAGTAGAGGGAATTAGAACCAAGATCTCCTGGTTTGCCTCTCGTAATTAAACTTAGAAGCAAGAGCACACTCACATGGGATCATGGCCAGACACTTAATTTTTCTTATCTATTTTTGGCATACAGGGAGAGACATTGTCACAAATTTAACAGTTATCTCATCTCATACCCTTGAATGCTTTGCCAGGATAGCTGACTGTGAAAAAATAAAAAATATATTAGAGTAGCAGTGCCCAAATTGTGTCATACAGAACATGATGTCATTGGATCTTCAGGGAGGGGGATTTCTATGGCAAATGCTGACCAAAGATAAAGACTTTTTACAGCTTTTATTATATGAATATGCATTATGAATAACCAGGAGGAGGGATTATAAGAAGAGCCTTCTCACTTTGCTAAGGAATATCATTATCAACTTGTTGCATGTAATGCAGTTTAGGAAGCATTGTTATATTCTTGCCAGTCCATCTTACTTTGGAATTCCAAGTTAGCAGTACTCAAAGATATTAAAATTTCAAAAGCCAAACATTTTTTATACACAAGCCATAATAATGCCATGAAGTCATGTATAAATCAAATATTTGAAGTTGCTCTTCCTTCTATGCTTCAATATACTGAAAGTTATACTTCAAGCATACTGCTAATTTTCAATGTCTCTTGTAGGCATGTTTTAGGAATAATTACAGATAGATAACCTGTTAAATTTATAGCAGTACCCAATCTTTATAATGCACAGGAGCTTTGAATCCAAAGTTTTGGGCATCGAGAAGGAAGATTTAGAGACAATGTCAGTAGTTCCAGTGCAGTTCCCAAGTTACCATGTGCTCTGCCACAAAGGAAGAAATGTATTTCTCATTTTACTCCCATGGTGTCAGATCAAAAGTTCCAATGAACTAATGGCTTATAATATGGCTTAAAGGATCCAAGGGAGTCCTTGAATGGCCCTCACAGGAGGTCAAACATGCCCTCACATGAGGTCAAACATGCCACCTCCCTGACCAGCTCTAGTCCTCTTTGTGCACACTAAGGAATGCCGTTTTAAACACCAAGTACTCTGCCATTGGGCCATAACTCACCCTGCCCCTTTGTACAGGGATGACTGCAGAATTGCCTATTTTAGCTCTTCTGTAGAGTCAGAAACTTTATTGTTTTAAATAAAACATTTACATCTGAATTATGTTGAGGCTATTTCCTAGTTCTGTGCCAGCCTAGTTCCTGAAGTTGATTTTTTTAAAATATATTTTTATTGATTTCAGAGAGTAAGGGAGAGATAGAAACATTAATGATGAGAGACTCATTGATTGGCTGCCTTCTGAATGCCCCCCACTGGGGATTGAGTCTGCAACCTGGGCATGTGCCCTGACTGGGAATCAAACCATGACCTCCTGGTTCATAGGTTTACACTCAACCGCTGAGCCATGCCGGTTGGGCGTTCCTAAAGTTTTAATAATCGTATAGTTAGTTAAAACCTCATCTCACATGAATAGCCTTTAGAGCCCTTTAAAGTGATCTCTAGATGTTGTTAATCTTACTGTAAGTAGTTTGTTACACCACCTTATTTTACTATTAAGGAAATAGAGGCTTAACTAAGTCATGTGTGACAATGATTCCCAATAATAACGCTTTTCCTGTTCTCTCCAAACCTTGCCCTAAAAAAGCCTAAAAAGGATACCTTTCTTTCAAGAACAGACAATTCTTTAAGACATTGTCATTTGAGAGACAGGAAGTTGGCCATGATATTGTTGTTGAATGGAAAGCTAGAAATGCTTCACTGAAGTGGCTAGAATTTTGAGGGCTAGAGTCACAGCTCAGAGCCCCTCCCCTTTGTTTTCTTTGCTTATTCAACTCAGCCATGCTTCACAGTGGAAACTTTTTTTTTTTTTACCTACTTTTTCCATTGGGGTTGGGGTGCTAAAAGTAAATAAATATATCCTGGATTTACTATTTAAATTAATTACATTTACGGCTTTTAAAAATATATATATATTATTGATTTTTTTACAGAGAGGAAAGGAGAGGGATAGAGAGTTAGAAACATTGATTGAGAGAGAAACATCGATCAGCTACCTCCTGCACACCCCCTACTGGGGATGTACCCGAAACCAAGGTACATGTCCTTGGCCGGAATCAAACCTGGGACCATTCAGTCCACAGGCTGACTCTCTGTCCACTGAGCCAACCAGTTAGGGCACATTTACGGCTTTGACATTTTTTTCTAGGAAGTTTCTTTCTGTATGATATTTAACACAGTACCAGGAAAAATGTATTCATTGGTTTCACTAACATGCTCCAGCATGTATTTGAACTGTTAGACCTTTCTAGGAAACTTATTGTCATTTTTATAATGATGCTATCACTGAAATGGCAGATAAAACCCTGTTCAGGACATCAGACACCTGTTTTGCAATATACGTATATATTTTTAGCTCTAGCCAGGGTTTATCTCTGTAATAAAAATTATCTGATGACCTAGAAAGTGATTTTTGGATGAAAATTTGATTCTTCGAGGTAATGATATTGGTAAAGGCATCTTTTGGCCATAATATCCACTGGTTCTTTTCCTTGCATTGTTATGTATTACTGTTGGCTGCTGAGATAAATCTTACCTATGAGATATCTCAAAAATGAGGAATATCTTCCAGCCCTAAGGGATGTCTCCACAAAGAAATCTTGCTTAGGCGCTATATATAGGCACACATTTTTGAAGCTTCAATGTACAATATTACGGTCATACTCTCACAGTGGGGGTCGGCGGAGCACTGTGTGTCATAGTGAATACCTAGATTATATCTTTTCCTCTTATAGTATTTACCTGCCTAGAACAAAAAGTTCATGTGAACTTTCCCCAGAAGTTTGATTTTTTTTAGCCCCACTTCTTATCATAGTCTACTTATTATAAGCGTGGATTAGAAAAGAATGTGACAAAATGAGAAAATGTTGTGTGTGCAAGATACTAATATTTTAAAGTAATGATACTTTAAAATCAAAAGTTACCAAGGCAAATCAGGTCTTTTAGGAAGAG